CCGGTGCTTGACCTGCCCATCTTGGCACACGGGCAGCGCGCGCCTGAACAGCAGGCAGCGAAATTAAGCAACTGCATGTTGCGACAAAAAGAAAAATAATCGTGGCTTTAAAAAAAACCAACTGAAAGGTACGTAATCCCCTCCAAATGTTGCTCGACGGTTGCGGCTCATCTGCTGTGTCTGTGTCTGAAGCGTACATCAAAAGAGAGCCGGCTTAAACATCGGGATTCTGCCTGACTTTGGCCGTGCACGCCTCGCAGGTGTCTCTTGTCCGGGGGAGGATCAAATCCTCCTGGATTTGCACTTGTGTGCATCACGGCGGGCTCTGCAGCTTCGCGTTTGTGTTCCCTTGTGTGGACTTAGTCGTCTTGCTTCCTACCAGCAGTCAGCTGGGGGGAAAAACCTGAAAAACCTTATTCAATAGCCCGTTCAAGAGTGCGGAGTGGAGGATACCATTCTGTCGAAAATCCCCTTGTATTTAGAATTTGTTCTCTTGAAAATCCTTTTGTGCTTGGAATGCACCGACTGAGCTGTATCTTAGAGGAATACCTTTAAACAAAAAAGTGATAGGGGCTCAAGTAGCGTATGGGATCTGTAAGGGAGGTTTGTCAGGGCAAAATATCTGTGGCTTGGCAAAGACAGGACTCGGGAATGGAAGAAAGAAACCTGTAAGTGTTTGAAGGCTGTAAGGGAGGGAAAAAAGGGAACTTTTCTGGCGGCAAGAAAGGAGTGGAGTTAAGACTGACAAGATTAAATTTCTCATCTTTTAATTACATGGGTGAAAATGAGAAAAATTCTGAGAAATTGTTCTCAATGAGTGGACAGTGGACAGATTCCACAGCACTGTAAGATAATTGTAAAAGATTTGTAAAACAATCTCTTAGAAGGTTCTTCACCTGAAAATCCTTTTCTAAGTTATATTTATTAACTCTAGTCCATCTGAATTTCCCATTCTGAAGTTAAAAATACTTATGTGGCTTTCAGTTGCCTGTCTTTATTTCACTATTATATGTCTTCATGCAGCATGTGCTTATGCATTTAAGACCACGTATGTCAGATGTATGTGGACAGATGACCATGAGAACAAATTATTTGAGAATATGAGAAAAGGACCAAAGATTTTCCTCTGTGCTTCATACTCAGTCAGGCTATTGCCAATTTTATAGTAGAATGGTCATTAATGAGATGTGAAACACAGCTATAACAGAGTAAGTAAAAACAGGAATCTGAACCTATGCATGTTTTTCATCTCATCCTGCAGGATGAAGAAATGCGTAAAGATTACGACTACATGTTGGATCATCCTGAAGAGTATTACAGGCACTATTATCACTACTACAGCAGGAGACTGACACCTAAAGTGGATGTCAGAATAGTGATCCTGGTTACAGTGTGTGCCATCTCTGTGTTTCAGGTAAAATGTCATGTTTATGTGATGCTGCTCGGTGAGTTTCTGAATGGGAAGAGAAGTATATGCAGCTCTTGGAACATGCCAGGTATTAAACAGTGTCAGTGAGGAGGCCCATTCCTACCTGCTGTGGTAAACCTCTGTACGGTGTCCATAACAAATCTGAAGTCAGGATGTACCGAGCAGATTATTGACTGCCCTTGATACCTTGAACAAAGGTAGAGATTAGTTTCTTTTAATGGTAGGGTATTTTGTAGAGAGAAGTGTAGCTTTTCTGAAGAAGTTACTTAGTTCTTCATGGCAGGCTCAGAATGGCCTGTTCCTGAACACAGACAGGACTAGTGCTCCAAATAAGGAAGCTGCCTAAGTAATTAAAAAAAAAAAAAGACTAATTGCAAACTAAATTCAAGAATCAATTCAGATGATAGAACTGAGTATCAGGGATTTACACTTCAGGATTCACACTTTAGTATTTTAAACACCACAGTGAAGTCAGGAGAGACGTAAATTCAGTTCAGCAAAGTTTGCTCTGAATGTGATAGATCCAAGGTCAAGAAACAGCCTCTGTTTTAGATAAGAAGGCTTGTGCTATTGCTTGTTTAGGTGGAGGAAGATCTGTAACTCTGTTCTTTAGGATCTGTTAGAGTAATGGTTCAAAACATCATTAAAAATACCCAGCAAGTTTAAGCTGTATCTTCATCTCTTATTCTGTGGTGCAGATAGCTCACTTTTTAGCAGGATATTAGAAGTTAAAACGAAAATATGTTTAACAGAATTTGAGAAGTTGAAATAATAAATTCCATTGGCTTATGCAGCCAAATACTTAATTTCTCTTCAGACTTACTTCCAATGGCAGAGTTTTGTTTCACCTGTTACTCTGTAAGTGGAGGCACTCACTTTCCTGCAGTCCAGCTGCCAGATGATTGCAAATTGAGTGTAAACAGCTGTGTAAACTGATTTGCCTCCCTCTCGCTCCTTGTTGTTTCTGCTTCTTGGCCTTTGTTAAGGTTGTATAATGTGTATGTATCTGCCCTTTGTCTTGGTGAATGGTGTGAAATGCTGCTACTTTTAAAAAGTTACCCCAAGAAGTCATGTTCGGGCTAGGCACTGAATTCAGGTTTGCTGTTGAGGCTTGTGGTGTTTTGTTTTTTTTTCCCCCCATTGAAATTCAGAGGATAGCTGGAGATTACAGAAGGATGTTGAATATTGTAAAGTGAATCCTGTCAGCCTAATGAGACTGTCATGTACTCGATCTGTGTTTAATTAACTGTTTTAAGTGGATAATGGTTTTATAATGAAATGTTCATATACCAGCTACTTTATTAATAAATCCAAGGGGGCATCTGAGAATGGCCAGCACAGCCTAGCATTAACCTTCAGGGGATTACCATCTTCTTGTGAACAAAACCAGTGTGAACAGTGTCTGTTTGTCCTTCCTAGTCACTGTGTATTGCTGTAAAATGTACATCTATAGATCTGTTTTCTAGGTGCCTTGCTAAGTTTGGAGGAATAATTATAGCTTCCGTAGTACTGCAGAAGAAGTACTGTTAACCTTCAGTTTTACCCCTGCTGTCATGTAATTGTGGTTAAAGGTGTATGGCAACATTTTTAATTTTCCTGGTAAACCTCCAAATAGGAATGTGCCTATATAAAAACATGGGTTTTGCTTTTACTGTTCTTCAATTACAGTTCTTCAGCTGGTGGAGTAGTTACAATGAAGCTATCAACTACCTAGCTACAGTGCCAAAATACCGTATACAAGCTACTGAGATTGCAAGGCAACAAGGTTTACTCAACAAGACTAAAGAAAAAGGCAAGAACAGACGATCTAAAGAAGAAATTCGTGAAGAGGAGGAAGAAATCATCAAAGACATTATTAAAAATAAAATAGATATAAAAGGCGGTTATCAGAAGCCCAAGATATATGATATCCTCCTATTTCAGATCCTTCTTGCTCCTTTTTACTTGTGCAAATACATAATTTGGTACTGTTGGTGGATTTATTGTTTCACTATTAAAGGGCAAGAGTACGGTGTGGAAGAGAAGCTGTATATCATACGAAGGTACATGAAAATGTCTCAGTCTCAGTTTGACAGCCTAGAAGATCGTCAAAAGGAGGCTTTTCTTGAGCGGCAGTTGTGGATACCAGAAAACTATGAGGTGGGTAGTTCTGGTGGAAGAGTCATTAAGTCCTAGCTTTTTTTTTCCAAACTGTCCTTTGATAGTTTTTTGGCCTTCCATGAGTCAGGGACTATTTTTGCCCTGCTATATACCCATTCAAGTAAAGATGGCGTATGAAATACCATTGGGTGCAATTGCTACTCTTGCCATGGGTAGTCAGTTATTAAATAGTCAATATGTAACCTTTTGCTTTTTAAACTTTCTGTGACAGCAGTGACAGAACATTAGCCACAGGTGGAATTTGCTGTCCAGAATGACTTGGGGTGCTGGGGGATGGCAGAATGACAAACACTCTTAGTGTTCCACAGAAGCTCATCTGTGGGCCATCTGGGTGGGAGGTTTCTAGAAGAGAAACTGAGACTATGAACTTGGCCTGCCTAAGGGGAAGAGGATATGTTGCTGCTGCTCTACATGCACTAGGAGAAGAAATGGGATGGTGGCAGAACTGCCTCTGCTGCTAGCAGGCCACCAAACATAAGATGATGATGCTTTAAAGGTAGGCAGGGTAGATCACTCTAGAAACTTGAAGAGGAGAATAGTAAAATTGATGCTAATGTAGAGAAAGGATTAGTCAACAGGTACATATACATGTTGAATTATGATGAGTTTGCTAGAAAACAGTCTGGAAGTCCAAAGGTTGAGTAATGTTACTAGTAAAAGCTGGTATTACACAGAAAATGTGAGACAAGATGGATATCCTCTTGTAGAGAAAAAAGAAACAGCACAGATCCCAAGCCATATTATAACTAGTGATGTTTTGGTCACTGAATATAAAAGCGCTGTATTTGCCAGAAGTGAACTCTGTTTTGCCCAGACTCATCTCCTGTGGGTGTCCAGCAGTTGATTTTTAGTGAAGAGTACATGAAAATTGCACCAATATAGCAATATTTATCCAGTATAATCTGCAGCTTTGGCACTTCCTGAAAAGGAAGTAGTGTCTTTGTAGGTGATTGCTTTAATGAGTTTTTCTTTAATAAACTTACCGAGTCTCCTTGAATAGGAAAGCAACTAAAGTGAGGAGCTGAACAGTATGTGTGCTGAGAAGGTACTCAAAATTTAGCTTTCTGAGCATTAGCAGTTCTTTACTGTAAGTTTTAGTCTGTCAAATGCATGAGCATCTAGTTCTTTAGCAAAAGTAGTTTTGGAGCTTGCAGCACTGTCTTACAAGTAGGTACTTCTACTCTACAGCCAGTAGGCTCCTCAGCTGAAGGTACTCCTACACTTCATGTTGGTCGGGGTCTGCTTCTATGTTGCTATTGCTTCTCTAAAAACAAAATGGTGAACGGTTGAACTGTGAATGCTTACACGT